CTCACTGTTGTGGCCTCTCCCGTTGTGGAGCACAGGCTCCGGACGCGCAGGCTCAGCGGCCATGGCTCACCGGCCCAGCCGCTCCGCGGCATGTGGGATCTTCCCGAACCGGGGCACGAACCCGTGTCCCCTGCATCGGCAGGTGGACTCCCAACCGCTGCGCCACCAGGGAAGCCCATTAAATATTTATTGACCAAATAGTAGGTGTTAGGTTCTTCTAGGATTAGAGAAAAGGTACAACTCACAATCTCCACCTTCCCTCAGCCTCCCCCTAAAGGAACTGCAGGAAACTTTTGCACCTGAGATGCGTGGAGTCTGCTGCTGCACTTGCAGTGGGCGTTTGCGGGTGGGGTAGGGGGGGATAAGGACACCAAAATAAGAGAGAGGCTCTTCCCAGCATGGGGCCTGCAGCCAAGATCCACTCAGGTTCCCACAGGAAGGGAACAATTAGTTACTTCCTCCCCTCCTGGCACTGAAGTGGTGAATTCCTTGCAAAGCGCCTTGAACACAAGGTAAGGCCAAGCTCACCAGGGGACTGGGGTAGAAGCCCCTTTGGTCTCACTTGCACCCACCCTGCAGGTGAGGTGCAAGTGACATCTTCCCAGGTGAGACCATGTGACATCTTCCCAGGTGAGACTGCGTGGACCTCGCGTTGCTGGCCTGATGTCGGCACCTGTCACCTTTCCCCCACTGACTTTCCACCTTCCTGCAGCCCTAGCTCTTCTCAGCCCAGGCTCTGCCATCTGGGAACTGTCATTCTAAGGCAGCTCGTTTCTTTTTTTAAAATTTGTTTAAAATCTACTTTATTGAAATATAGTTAATTTACAATGTTGTTAATTTCTACTATACAGCAAGTCATTTCTTTATCATGAACGTCTCTGAATTTTCCCCGCAAAAACCATGTCATTTCAAAACAAAACAGCACAAAAGTAATTCATCTAATAAGGGCTCAAAGTATGCCTTCATCATTGCAAAGGTTCATAGCAAGTTTATCTTTGCCCTCAATGCCAATTTGCAGATTGCTTTCACTGTGTGAGTTTATTAGGGCATATCATCTAGGAACCGTGTTCTCATTCACCTGAAGGTGGCGTTCCTTTCTTCTTTCCTTTCGGAAACTTGCCCAGGGAGAGTCAAAAGTTACAGAATTTCTAGATCGGGGAGCCTAAGCCAACCTCTGGCTGATTTCTGGGAGCTCACGAGTAGTGTGAGTGGGACGGGAGAGGCCCTCTCCCCCGCCTCCACGCCCCCCTCCCCAGCCCGGACAGCTCTTCAGGCCTGATTGACGCCACCGGCTTAACAGCGGCTCCTACACGTCGACCTGAAATCCAGAGGCTGGAGGAGCCCAGGCCTGCCCGGGCCTCCCGCGTGCTCGGGGAGACCCACCATCTCTGCACGCAGGTAAGACACCAGCCAACAGAGGCCCCCGCATCACACCTGGACCCGAAGAAACGACACCTTCCTCATCGCCGTCTCATCCGCTGCCAGACCCGCCTCCGGTGGCGGAGGCGGCCGAAGGTCCCCGAGGGAAGCATGGGGTTGGCGCGGGGAGGGGGGCGGCCGAAGGTCCCCGAGGGAAGCATGGGGTTGGCGCGGGGAGGGACGGGCAGAGTTTCAAAGAAGGTGCGCACTAGCCTGGGCACCATCCTTCAGTAGACGCCTCTTCCGTGCCTGCAGTGCGTCTAGCGCTACGCTGAGCGCCGAGCGGACGAGAGGAAACTCTCCCCGCCCTCCGCGAGTTTCCCACGTGACCGGGTGGGGGCGGTGCGCGTCCGCCAGTCGGACTGTGAGGCAGCGCGGCCGGGCCGTCCCGGAGCGGAGGGACACGCCCTCGGCTGGAGGAGTGAGGTCACGCTTCCCGGGGACGTGACCTCGGCCCTAGATGACAGGCAGGAGGGGTGAGAAGCAGGAGAAATGTGTTCTGAGCAGAAAGAATGAATGTGCGAAATCGCAGGGGCGAGGGTTCCATCCAGGCGATTGAAAGTCGTTCAGGCTGAAAGCGGAAATGATGGAGAAGAGACCGAATCCCATGGACACTGCGGCGAGAACGGCAGAGACCCTTGAAGGGTTTTAAAATGGAAGAGTGGCCTCATCCTTCTGCCTGAAGTGTGGTGAGGGGATCCTAAGAAGCCCGGAGGAAGGAGGTGAGAGATGAGAGGGGTCTGAAAGGAGGCAATGGGGACAGAAGACAGGACTGGATTGGGGAGATGGTTAGAAAGCAGAGTTGACAGGATTTTGTGACTGAATCTGGTGAGTGAAATCAAGGCTGGGGCCGGCATTTATGTCTTGGGTATACGGTGGAGAGCGGTATCTTCATTGAGAAGGAACAGAGGAAAGAGTAAGATGAGTTTGCTTGGGAGACATGTTATGTTTGGGAACTTGTGGAAGTCCCCAGTTGCCCAGAAGGCAATTGGATATTTGGGTCTAGAGCAGGCGTTGGCAAACTGTAGCCCATCAGGCAGCCTCCTGGTTTTGTAAATAAAGTTATATTGGCACACAGCCTGGCCTGTTCATTTACTGTTGGCTACGGATGCATGTGCATGAACATGAGTAGTTGAGTAGATGTGACTGAGGCTGTATGTTGGCCAGCAAGCCCATAAAATATTTACTGCCTG